CCTTTATTGCTGTTGCTGCTGCCTGCTCCATAGCCAGACTGACTCCTTTCACCCACACACAGCCAGCTACAAGACACCGTGTCTCATTTCAATATTTATGCCATGCGCCCATTTGTCGAGAATGGGAAGAAGAAAGCAGCCGCTGCTAGGCTGCAACATTGGTCAGAGAGGGCAACGCGCACAATGCAACTCCGCATTATTTGTTGAAATTTCTTTTCTTATATTCAAGATTTATGGGTGAAAGTACAAAATGGAAGCAGCCACCGGGTTGATGGTTGCCGCGCTCGATCCATAATCGCCGCACTCAACAGGAAGTCGCAGCGACCGCAACAACGTAACGATTTTGGCACTAAAATATGGTCACGCACGTGGAACTAAGCGGGCCAACTATACTATATACTCGTACATACATACATTTATACATATTAATGTTTTGGATGGGGATCAGTTTATTTTTTGGCGTATATATTCCGAACAAATGTCACATCTAATTGGAACTTGTTGCAGTAGGACTAAATAGTTTTTTGAGCTTCTATTTATTTTGAAAACTCATTATTCTCTATGTTCAGTATTACGTTTCATTTGATTGATTGATTATTAAAAATTCAATTCATAAAAGAGATAGGTACTTGATAAGGTCGACTTCTGAAATGTAATTCAGTATGCAGTATGTATGCACTATGTAGATGGTACGATGAATGTAGCAGATATTTTGACTATGAGAGAAACTTTAAAATATGAAATGTTCAAACACAATTTAAAAAAAATGTTGTATGGTTAAATGTTCAAATATTTACACCTATTAAGTGATATTTTGCTATCATTTTATATATCTGTACATATATCAGGGGCAATATCAGGGGGATTTGTTGAAAACGAAACTCTGGAATTTCAATTTGACAATAATTTGGTCGCTTTCCTTAACCAAGAAAATTGGGGATTCTAGAACAGGTGTGAATATTGTGGATATTTAGGAACATATTTTTATCGCATTTTGGTAAAAAGATACGGCTTTTTTTAAGAGGTGACGGAATTTTTTCGCCTTTAAAATAGTTATATATGTACATACACAATTTCGAGAGAAAAGTTTTCTGAGTTGCATGCTTATGAGAAGATATACAATTTTTGTGTGGGCCCTGGGACAGCCTAATTAATTTCCAGTTTAGTGAATCTAAAAAGGAATGACACATCATTATTACTTCGTTTCTAATAACGACTAAATTAAAATAATTGGACATTGTCTTTATGGAGATCGTTTTAGCAAAGCATTTTAAAAATCAAAAAAAAAAGACAGTAACGTCACTGCTGGCTAACAAGAAATACAGACTTCATGGAAAATACAAAATTTTCCTTAATCGAAGTTAAATCATTATATTCTTGATTGCTTAAGTTGATGAAAAGTTCCATTTCGGACTCACTGTACGAACTTAAGAGAAGCAAAACAAAATTATGAAAACTTCTTTCCGTCTGATTAAGTTTGATTGGCTTACTATAAAATGAAAAACCCAAATGTCGGTAAAAAAAATATATTTTTTATAAAAACATGTACGTTCATTTTTTTTACTGAAGAGTCTAAACTTTAGACTCTAAAGGTATTAACAGAAAAAGTTTTCTTTAATGGTGCTCTCCATTTAAACCCAAAAAATGTTAGTTATAAACAAAACATATATACGAACATGTACGTGTGTATAGAAACAAAAAAAGGTTCCAGTACCGCAGCAACTACAACAAATACAAGCATTATTTTTAAGTCGCAATAACTGGAATAAATGAAATGGGAAAAATACTAAATTATATTTGAGTTGAAAGCAATTGGAAGAGGATTTCGGTGGGGCTGTTTAGCGAACGCCTGAAAAATGAATGAGAAACAAGACAAACTGCCAGAAGGTGCGCGAAGGGTGGTATACATATACAGAGATAGCCCCATTGTGGTGAAACAAGTCAAGAAGAAAAGACCGGAGAAATGCGTGAATGTGTGTGTGCGGGTGCGTCTCAGATATCAAGCAATAACTCATAATAATAAAAGCGAAAACAAGATGGCAAAATAACGAAATAAAGCGAAGGGAAAAACAACAAAATTCGACTGATATCAAAACGAGGCGCAAAAGCGCAGAACATGAGAACACTAAAAAACATCAACAAACACAGCCAGCGTCTGCAGAGACGGAGAGAGAGGCAGCGACGGCGGCAGCGAATCCAGACGCAGACTGTTCAAGGCGCCCCTACCAGAGCACACAAGCTACGAAGAGCAACTGGAGGGAAAGGGGGTGCAAACATGTTTGAGCATGTCGCACAAAGGAAATTGAAAAATGCAAAAAGTACAGACTTAAGACAGCGGGCCACAAAAAAACGGGCAGGGAGAGAGTAGAGAGAGCGGGCGCGCCTACTGCACGAGCGAATATATGTACATATGTATATACATACATATGTGGAAGAAAGAGCGGCTTGGGGCTAGGCATGTGTTGACTCGGCGACTGTTTGCTTGGGCGGCATTTGACAAAGTCGTCGCCACTGCAGCGAATTTAATTTAAACAACAACATGAAACAACAGAAATAGCAAAAGAAAATGTTGCCAAAGCTGCTCCACAGCTGCCCGAACAACTTTCAACAATTATGTATGTATGTTTGTGGTATTGCTCTGAATTTTGTTTACTCTGGTGTTGCTGCCGAATGTTGTCCTTGTTGTTAATTTTAACACACACGTGTATGTACATACGTACATACAAGTACATAGACATACATACATATGTGTTTTATTCGTGGCTTTTATTGTGATTATCAATAAAAAAAATGCCAGGCGTGATAAGCAACAATAACAGCGCGACAACAAAAACAACCAGCCCCAGCGACAGCAACAATCGTTTTCTTCATTATCTTCTATTTACTTTTATACTATTCATATGTACATACATTTATTGTATATATATGTACATACATATATGAACATACATGATTTAATGTAAAGAGCACTAGAAAATGGAAACATTCATTAAGTGCCTCAACTACGTTTACGTTTGTACTATGTACATATGTACTGCATTGCAAAGCATTATAATGTCGGAAAAAGACAAAAACCATATCTTAAAGCCATAAATGAGACCACAACAATTTCTAGAATTTTTAAGCCACAAAGCATTAAACATAATCTCAATGAAAAGTAAAGAATGCGCATTCTATGGTAAGGTAGGCATAAGTATATAAAGCATATTTTCCAGAACGAAGAAACAGCTCACGAAACAAGAAAATATATTTAAAAAATACAAGAAGCTTACTAAAACAATCTTTCTAAAGTACACATTGGTCCTATAGCAGCTGTATGATTTGGTAGTATAATATTATTGTAGAAACAAATTTTTGCAATATCCAAATTGGTTTCGTTATCTTCTTGAACAAATAAGTTGTTCGTTTCATAATGTACCTGTGGCCGCTCTACATTATAGGAGTCCGATTCAGGTATGTATGTGTACGGTTATATCAATTCGTTTCGCCGTACTGGACTGAAGCGGTATTCCCTTAGCAACAACATTTTCTTACTCCGTGGTCCTGGGCCGCGAAGCCTAGGGCTAAGCTTTAAAGTTTCAAGGCGATAGCTCTAAAACTGTGAAACTCCTCGCACTTCTGATAAAACCGACTGTCGGACGATTTAAAATCGTAACGTTCTTATATATTATAAAACCATCAGCTTCTGGGAGTTACCAAAATAAAACACAGCAAAAGACATACATATGCCCTTGTACTGTTCAATGAATAGATTTAAAACGCTGTGAAACATGTGCTAGAAAATGTTTCGAGTCTCCTTGCATAAATCAATGAAATTTTCATGCTAGGTGGGGAACTAAATATCGGTTCGAATTTTTCGACAAAGAGTAGCACGGAGGTAGAAAATATTAAACCTTTTTGTTCTAATCAAAGGTTTTGGTGAGGACTTTTACAGTACAGTACGCACTTCAACAAAATACTTCAAGAACATACCACAAATATACCCAACCTTTTGTTTTTCTATATCGGTTTAAACAAATGAGGGGATGGTAGGAATCAAATACTAAGTGCTATCATTTTCATTTTGAACAATTTGTTCATCATAATACAACACATATATGAATGAATGAACTTAGCGGATTTAAATAAAAAATCTTTGTAAGGCTAAAAACTTTTTACGAGAAACAAGACTGAGGCGAATGTGGTAGTTACCAAAAATTAAACTCACGCGTAGCAATTGAGTAACTAAAATGAGTTCTTGATTTTTCAAACTATTTACTGTCTTCACTACACTGTATCCACGTTTAAAAATTTTTGAATCAGAAGGAACGAGCCAAATATAATATAAAAGAACCTCTGCAAAATTTGATTAAATCGTTCACGAAATAAAATTACGATCATTGATCAAGTTGAATTGTTCAGAATTGAAAAGAGCAAGCGAATAAAATGAAGAAGTGAATAAAAAGATACTTTTCATTAAGATGTCAGAAAATAACAAACTCACTACTATGCCAAGATATATGTACCTATTCTAAATCCGTTATCGGTTAGCTCATTTTTAATTCCATATCTGTACTTAAGGTTACTTCAATATTTGTATTTAAATATAGAATATAAATATAGAGCCCCCTATCGGTCAAATTTATCCGAACTTTTAAAAGTCCTTTAAAAATCATTTGAATTTAGTTGTTTCTTAGAATTGTCGGTCCGATCATCATACTTGAACTTTACACGTATATACAAGTATTCCAAAAGTGGAAATATAAAATGAAATTACGAATTAAGTGTTGGTTGTTAAATGGAATTAAACTAAGAAGGTGATCCAATTTCTCTGCAAATAATGTGACTGTATTCTAAAAGGTACATATGTATGTTTGGTATTTTCTGTACAGCAGCGGTTCGACAAACTATATTACGAATCAAAATTAGTTGCAGAAATCCCGCTAATACAACAAATACATTTGTATTTAAAACCAAATCGTCATATAATTGGGGCGCATTTATTTAAAATGCCGACTCACCTGTATCGCGCTTTCGCTTGCTGCTCACTGCCGGCTTGACTGAGGACAGATCCTGTGACTGCTGCTGGTGTTGCTGGGTCTGCTGCTTGTTGGAGGAGTAGCCGTAGCGGACAACGTTGCGCTGACGCGGCTGCGTATCTGCCGGTTCTACGTGTAGAATCGAGGCACCCGACTTGTGGTCGATTTGGCTATTTATGATCGCCTGTTGCAGCTCTCGATCTGTGGGCTTTATATCATGGACTGTTGCATAGACGCCGTGAGTTGAGTCCACGAAATCGATATTTGCAAATCGTTGTTGTTGTTGCTGCTGCTGCTGCTGCTGCTGCTCGATCTTTTCGTGCTGCTGCTGGTGTTGGAAATGGGCGCGATCGCGCTCGAGTTCGCGTTGCTCGCTCGCGGAAATGAAGGAGCGACCGGCGTAGTCGACGACGAAATCGGACGCGTGCAGATGCGACGTTTTCATTTGTGTTCGTTGGCCCGGTGCATGCAGTATTTTCGGTGCTCAGTTCTCTACAATAATCTCGGTTCCGTATCTCTGGGTCGTCTCTCTAGCTGCTGTTGCTGCTTCTGCTGCTGGCGACGCTGCAGTGGCTCCAATTGTTGCTGCTGTGCTGCGTTGTAGCAATTCGTTGCATTTATGTGACGCAACCTTGTCGTAACGGTTGTAGTTGGCGTTGGCTTCTTGCCGTTATTGTTGATGTTGTTGCTGCCTTGAGATGTACTCGACGGCATTCGTGGATTCAAATTTAAATTGGATTCGATTTGAATTATACTGCAAGCGTTGTTCTTCTTGCTCTTGTTGTAGTTTCTTACATTTATTTTGTACAATTTCGCTGCAATTTTAACTGTCACATTGAAATTAGCATCGAGTTAAAATTGTTTCGCGTGTTTTCTCTGGCAATCTTGACGAATATTTATTTCTATTCAATGAATTACTCCTTTTTTAATTTAAAGTAAAATTGATGCGAAGAATATTTACAATTACTTTTACAATTACAATTCATACCAAATTAAAAAGAGAATCTGTAATGAGAAAATGAAGAAACAATGAAATCAATAATCAATATCATTTTATAAATGAATATTATGTCTAACATTTTATACACAACTTTTTCAATTTTAAAATACATTTCTAATTTACACATAAAATACACGCAAATCACCAAATGTTTCTAACTAGGAGGGGACCTAAAAGCAACTGTAATGAAAGCCAGGAAGAATGAAGCGAATGCCACGCTATATTGAAATTCAAAGTTCACTTTGCAAGAGATTAGAAAAGGGTTAACAAATATCGTTGGATTAATAAAGACATCTGATAAAAATAACTACGAAAAGCGCTGAACGCCTTTAGTTTCAACAAAACATAGCCCCGATTATTTCAAGAAATGGCAGATTACAACAAATCCCCTAATACACCAATCGAGAACGTTTAAATTTATAACAAATTGTCGACCGGTCAACTCTTCAATAATTATGTAGATTTATTCAATCAAAGTCCCGATCATCTCAGGTCAGCTGTACAAGATACAATAATACTATGCTCGTTCCAATTTGTTTATAAAAATTTTCCACCAGACAACTTATTTGCACGACGGAATTAGACGAGCAGGCGACAAAGCAATTTGGGGGGCTTTTTATTCATTTATATTTAGATTAGTGGTAAATTCGGAAAGGGCGGGGACTAGGGGTCAGGAAATACGCACGCAAACTATAAAAACATTCCCAGCAAAATAAATAAAACAACACATAAAAAAGAAACTTTGAAAATGAGCATGGAAGGAAGGCTAAATAATAACATAGCAGAAAAATAATAACCGACACGAAACTACATAGTTATATACTTGTAGATATATCGAAGTTCTAATACCCTTTTCAATTTTTTATTTCAATTGATATTGTCTTTTGTTATTGTATATATAAGTATTGGAATAAACAATTTCTTGTCAAGTTGGTCAATTTTGTCAATCTGAAGCATAGCTTTATTTCAAAAATGAAGGCGAAACATCTTTTTCGAATCAATCGTTTTTGTAACAGCTCTCGAGAGAAAGTAAAAGATCGATCAGGGGAATCTTTAATCAATTGTTCAGTTGTTGTTGAATGCCTAGTCTTTCTGAAATCATATGTATGTACATATATAGTTGAATAACATCTGCTTCAAGCATTCGACCAACTTCATAGTCCAGGGTATGCAAATGGGTGCCGAAAAGCAAAAACCCAAAATTATTATGGACAGGCTGGCATTATAACAATAATGGCAGCAATAGCCGCGACTTCGAAAACAACATTTTGTAGATTACGCACTTAGGTAAGCACACACACACAGACACACATACAAAAACACACACACGCACATACAAAGTTTTTATCTACGCATTTATAAAAATAACAAAGTTCTTGAAAATTAAAGTCTGTGCTTTTATTTTGCTGTTTTGGTTTATTTTTGTTTTGCCAAATTTTGGCCAATTGCGAGCGACGGCAACTTTCGTTTCGACTGTGTGTGTGTGTGTGTGTGTGTGTGTGTGTGAGTATAGATTGTTTTGGTCAAAAACAAAATTAAGAGTCTGTTGTTTTTTTCTTTATTGCTGGGTGTGTTGGGAGGGTGCAGTTAGAAGAAGAGAGCAGACGCAAATAACAAATAATGAATGTGTGGAGAGAAGCACAAAAACAAAACTTAAAGCAAACAAAAAGCCGGTTCTCTGCTTGTTTTGAAGAATCACACAAACACACGCATCTTAGTACATATACACGGAGAAATATGTTGTTATTGTTGTAATGTTGCAAGTTGCCGATGAGAAGCAGCGCTGTCGCCGCTTCCGCCAGCTGCTGTTGGAGACGTCGTCGCCTGCTTGCCCCGAAACTTGTGCGAGGCTTTCGAGCTCACACACACACACACACACACACACACACAACATACGCGCACACACACCGAGAAATGCTAAACTGTTCAGAGCGTCGCTGCTGCTTCAAAGCGACCGGCGGCGGCGGCAGCAGCAGCAGCAGCAGCAACACAGACATCAGCAACAAAAACAATAAAAGCGATAAACGAGTTTTTGTTGCTGCTATTTATTTATTTGTATTTTGCTGTTCGCTTGTTTTTGGGCGAGTCAACGACGACGTCGCGACGTCTCCAAAATTGTCAAAAAATAAAACACGTTAAATATTAATATTAATTTTAGTTGTTGTTGTTGTTTCTGCTGCTGCGTTGTAAATTCAATTTTTATGGCTCACGGAGAAATTGCGACATGTTTTTTTTCTGCTGCTCGTGGCGATGTGGTTGTTGTTGTTTGTTCGTCAGTTGCTCTTTGCCACTTGCCATTTATCATTAGTTAATGTTGAAAATTGTCAAACTTTTTGTGTAACCTCTGTAAGTTACACGCATATGTACACACACACACACACACACAGGCACATACGCACACACATTTAAGTACATCTGTGTGCGAGCCTGCTCAGTACTGTTGGCAGCAATGGTGCGAGTCCTGTTTTTTATGGAAACAAAAAACAGTTTCGTCGACTCTTTTACCGCGCGCAACATCCGCATGCGACGCCCGTTGCTGAGACTCTGAGCGACCTAAGCTGGAACTGCAGGATATGCCGCCTCACGGATTTTGATGAAGCGCCTGCGCCGACTGCCGCAAGCAGAGAGCTAGATTGTTAGACAGAAACAGCACAGAAGGCATAGCAGAAAGAGAGAGGGAGAGAGACAGAGAGAGAGAGAGAGAGAGAGAGAGAGAGAAAGCGAAACAGAGAGTGTCCATTTCCTTGCTTGGTCTAAAATTACGCTCTGCCCGGGGGACTCACGATGAGCGAAATCCTTTGCTTGCGTGGGTGACTCTTCCAGCAGCCCACTCCCCACCGAACAGACCAGGCTTGATTATTTCAATAGACACGTAAGGATTTGCGTAGTTTGCTGCCCGAGTGGATTAGGGCCAGAGGCAGGCGCTGGAGCGGCAAGCTCGGGCATCGCGTCAAAACACACAAACCCACACACCCACACCGACACAACACATCCACTTGCATAGTTTTGTGTTACAAAAGGAACGACGATGAGGCAATAAGTGGGCTGAGGTGGCTGGTTAGATGGGCTGACTTAGTGTCGTGGGCTTTATGGCAGCATCGCCCGCGACTCTAAGCTTGGGTAACTGTGAAACTAGTGTCGTGGCAGACTTAATTACATACGCACCACCAACATTTGCACCACCCACCCACACACACACACACACACATACACGCACCCACACCCGCATACTGCGAATACGTGTATTTTTAGCAACCTAACTAGCACAGCTGTGAGGAGGACTGGTCTGAACAACTTACCAAGAACTATTCTCCTCTTACGAGGAATTTGTTCACATATGGAACCATTATAAGACTCAAAATCATGCGTTGAAAGACAGAGCTTGGGTGAATCGAAAGTGAAATCGGAAATTGTTAAATGCGAAATGTTGCCCTTTGAAAGTTCCATCATATTGGTTCCTTTATCACCGACTTGCACCCAGGTTCATAGCTTTACACACTTTAGACGTAGAACAAAAAAAGAAGAAGAATAAACTCAAGCCATTATGCCTCTCTGATCTATGCGAAGACTACAACAATCTACTAAATTCTTATGAATATCAGCCACCATGTATTTAATCACTGCAGGAGTCGACAGGACTGGATTTTAGTATTACATTAACCTAGTGGTGAATCAATCCATTGGGGGTACTGGTGTTCATAGTTGTGATTTATTTTGTTAAGAAACATTATGCAGCTATTTTTATATGGACTCTTTCGGTTCATAGGTGCTATCTTCGACTTGGAACCTTGCGTTTAAGATGGAAAAATTAATGTAACTAAATAAATACTGAATATCTGTCTGTAGATCCGTCGAGCTGGATCCTATAACTTATTTAATGTCAACGAAGATTCATATTTTTATTCTTAAAAATACAAGACTCACAGAATGATAGCAAATAAAATGGTTAAGTAATATTTGAAGCTGCAATATACTTCTCAGCTATCTTATTCTATGCCTAAGCTATATAGTATATGTACCCTTAATAGCAATAACAGCAAACACCTTGTTACTACATCTCGTACTTTCTATTTTCAATACCAATTACCAACAAATGATGTAACAATCTAATATTAATATCTTAAGAAATAGACGGGAAATTTCAACGCAATTGCTTTAAGATTGTGTAGTCGGAGAAGTAGTTAATAGATATGGACCGGAAAGTGGACATTATGATTTAAAAATTATGAACCAAATCCAATATAATGAAGAGCATACCAAAGTGGTGTATTGAAATTGTTCAGGTATCCACTTGATCAAGAAAAGGCAAAGCTCATAGACATATTGTATTCGCAATAATTTCTAATCATTTCTACCGAAACCGGATAATAATATCATTGGGAAAATACTTGATCTGAGTTTTAAGCAAACAAACATTCATAAATGCATGTTTATTTTCAAATTTGACTCTGTAACTAAGGGCACATATCGCGGCTACAGAATTCGCTCGGCAGTCGTTATACTTATATACATACATATGTACATTTGTATATGCATATGGTCAATCAGTAAACCTAACATATGTTGCTCCAATAAGGTCTGTAGAGTGCAATTTATACGTACATAGAACAATGTGTAATGCGCACGTCCCATAAAGCTCCGTTCCACACGTTTTATATACATACAGACATACATATGTATATTTTTTGCAGTAAATACAGATCTAAAGTTTGAAAACAGCTGTTAGGTTACTTTTCAAATTTGAATCCCACAATCTGACCACCCCATGGACTCATCATCGAGTGGGAGGCGGTGGACAGGCCAGGAACCTATTTTCTAGCAACCATATGGCAACAAGCCTAGTTGTCAATTTGTTCGCGTCCCTTTTCCGGCTCACTGGCGACTAATTGACAGCCTGGCAGGCAAAACAAGGCCATGCAAAAGCCAAAGCCAAAGCCGGCTACCTCTCGCCGTCCTCAACCAAACTACCAAACTTATTCTCTTACAGGGGGCTTTTGGGGCTCAGGGGTCTAACGAAATTATGTTAATCATCGGGAAAACCCACAAGCAGCCGCCCAAAGGCAACAGCAAATAAAAGTTCAGCAAGCAGAATTTCCTTTTAAATGTTTTACATATAAATTGTGCAAAAACGCCAACGTCGGCAGAGTCAGTAGCGACGGAAACTGCGCCACCGGCAACGTCGTTTCAGTATCCTTCGCATGAATGGCAAAATAGAGCTCTCTCGCTCTGCTTGCTCTCTGCTGCTTCTGACTGTTGCGCGCTCTCTTTGGGGAAAAGCCGACAAAGCACACCGGCGGCGTTTTTTTCTTGTTTTTTTTTTTATGACGACGGCATGAAGGATAACGATGATAATGACGCAGCGCTGGCCCGAATAGAGACCCTACGCGACCCTCAAAGCGCGCGAAAGCTTAGCTAACTGCGTAGAAAGAAAACTTCGTTACAAAAACAAGCGCGGCAGAAATGCGATGAAATGATATTGCCAGTTTATCTGGAAATTTCATCACAAGCGCTTTCTTGAATGGCGGCAGCTTAGCATTGCAGCGATATGGTACACAAAATAGTATGCACATACATACATACATACATATGGATATTTTCAGTACGAATGTACAAGTACAAAGACAATGTATAATGGATAAAATGAAAAGTACCAGCATAATTCCTTCGATATGATGGTACATGGAAAAGACCCTACAACGTTCTCGAAATAGCTCGAAAACAAATGAAAATTTTTGCCCTTTCCGTTTCCAGCCAGTGTGCTGCGTGCAGTGTGAATTTTCTTTAGCAGCTGGCCACGCCGCCATCACGCACACTCAAACCAACACACTTACAAATAAGCACACATTCATAACAACAACTACCAACCACCGCTGCAGTGTTGCACGTAGACAAACTCAATAAAGCAATTCGAAATTGTTGTAAAAATGCAACAAATAAAACCATTTATGACAACAACAACAACAACAGCAAAAATAAATAAAATGCAATTGAAATGAGATTTCTCGTGCTGCCGCTCACTCATTTACACACACACACATCGACATACTCGCAAGCGCTGCTTTTTCATGCGCTACTTTGAGTTCATCGTTTTTAATTCATTTTGAGTTTCTCTCTGCTTTTGCTTCTTCTTCCACCTCGCTGCTGCTACCACTTGAATACAACAAAAAAAAACACACACACATATACACAATACACTTATGCACATACATACATATACGCCAACTTTGTGCACACAGCCCACGATTATTTAACATACAGAAATTGTGCTTACTTTTCATAATTTTAACCAAAAAAGCATATTAACATTGTGCAAAGATTTGAAGCCTGCATCATGATTTGAATAGACTTTTTACTTAAAAATGTATTTCGCTAATAAAAACACTCGCCATTTCTCGTTCTCTATCACTCACTCACTCACGCACACGCACGCACAATTGCTTTTTATTTTAACGAGCGCGAACCCGTCCGCGTTCTTCAGCGTATAAAATGGAACTGACTCGCTGAATCGCAAATGTGAGCAGCGGAACTTGTTTAGCAACAACGGTTTTTACTGTAGCGTTGTGTGTACACACTGCCTAACAATATTTGATAAGTTGGCCTGTTTTCAAATGTGCGCAAACTCTATATTCCAAGTTTTGTAATGAATTCTAAGTATGATGATTTTATTTTATTTTGTAAATATGTAATTGCTCATTTGCAGTATTACATTGTTATAAGTTTTCTTGTTCCAATAGTTAATAGTGGAATAAAACGCATTCGCAGCCTACTATACAACAATTCCTTTTTTTTTATGAATGTCAACACATTCTTGTGTAGTTGTCTTAAAAAAAATTCTCGTTTTATTTGAGATTTGTTCTTATTATAGCAAGGTGAGTTTTGGCCATAGGAAACTAAATGTCTGCATTTAATGAACCAACTATGTCATTATGTTGTAGAAATGGCAGATTTCTGTCATATTTGCGAGTTCAAGCTCTGCAGCTGCTCCGAGATATCAGAGAATAGAATAAAAAACCAGGAATCTAGCAAAATACCACTGGAAAAACTCAAATTTTTGGAACACATGATTAACAGATCTCTTAATGAATTGGGGAAAGAAATCATCAATCATCAAAATAAACTATTAAAATGCCAATTTTATTTTTTGGGCAGTGAAGGACAGGATCGACTACTCCAGCAAAATCTTCTGCTGATGGAGTTAGTGCATGATGTGGCCAAGTTTGGAGACTAGAAGCAAAAGCTCCTTCACGCAATGGGACTGCCTGCTGCCGTAGCTCTTCGAGAATTTGCTTTACACATTTAAAATTACATTTATAATTAAAATCTACATACACATGTATAAAAACATACGATTTTAGTTATATTACAAAAATTGTGGTCCTTCTATTCTTGTTTTTAGGACGTAAAAGTATATATCACATATTATAGCTGTCATAGGCCCGATAGATGAAAATATCACTCCCAGTAGCATATCTTCATACGATTTTTTTCAAAGGAGTTTTGATATTTTTAAGTTTTATCAGGATCGGTTCACTCTATCTTATGACTAACATATAGTAGGAATGATTGGTAAAGAAATCAACCGCACTGCCAATACTTTGTTTATTTATAAAGATATCATAACTAGATTTTGAAATCTTTTTATAATGATTTATCCTATGAAATCCATAGGAACGAAGATATTACCTAAAGCGTTTTAGGTTCTTTAAGTGCTCCACAAAAAAATCAATCAAAATCTATTTGTAGGTAAACAAATTCGATAAAATTACATTTATGCCAATGAAAAATGTTTGGGAAGAAACGCTGATTCTAAAGTTCTAATGCGTTCCTACAATATAATATCACTTAAGGAAAAACTCTTTTGCATTTGGATGATGTTCTTTTTAAAAAGAACACTTTTGTTGGAAATAAAAGGGCACTTTTCTATTAATGTTCTACATTATGTTGTAATTTAAAAACAAATCAAAATTACAATTGTAATCAACTAAACTAATAATTTAATAAGCTAACTAATAGAGAAACTAAGGATTTTACCATTAAACCGTTTAAATGTGTTCATCTGTTTTAATATGTAATTATGTTTTGAAATTGAATTATGATAGCAAGTATTTCCCACATTTTCTGTTAACATAATGGTTCAGGAGAAGAATTCAAATAATTGTGAATAAAGTAAATTACAAATTACAAAAAAAAAAACTAAAGCAGAGACTGAATGAACTACAAAACGAACTAAAGGAACCAGTGTTGCCAATTTGGCTTTTTCCCCCGTCAAATCTGGTTGCCTTTGAAATGAGATTGTGGGAAAATATTCCAAATTGCGTGAAGCGGGAATTCTGGCTTTCTAAAAATACATTTAGCTCTTTTTCCGCTTTTTGTAATTTTGCCAACATTTATGTAAAAAAAAAAATGGAAACGAGGCAGCTTCATCATTATTTTTAATCAATATTTGCCTATTTCACTCGCTTGTGAAAGTAGACCCTACGTATTGACAAAGATGCTGCTGTGGTTACCCTCAAGGGCCTAGCCAGCTTTTACCAAAGGGGGGGCAAAATTTTGATTAAATAATGCCCGATGCATTTAAAAAATAATTTATGCATATGATCGATGAAAAAACTTCAACAAATCCAACGCAGATCCATCTTAAGGCGAAATAGTGCGTCATAATAATGAGCGTGTGGTCGACTTTATATGGAAAAATTTTTTCTAAGGGGGGGCAACGGCGTTCCTGCCCCCCTGCGTACACCCTTGGTTACCCTACACATGACATAACTAGTTTAAACCATCTTTATCTCAAAAATGCGGTTAATTTGTAAAGGTGGGAATGCCGAAAGAATGCAATGAAAAATGCCGTGATGTTTGGCTCAATTACAAAGAAATACAGAATTTTTATGGGTAAAAACAAAATTAGTTTTGTAAAGCTACCAAAGAAAGAAGCAGCTCTGTGCCTTTTTCTTGCTCAGCATACATCAATAGCGCAGATTGACCGCTTTTGAAGAACACATGACGAAATGCGTAAATATCATTTAAAATGTTCACCAAGATGATAGAAAAATGTATTTTCCAAGGCTTTTTTTTAGCACTTCTTGTAAAAATAAATTTAGCTTTTTCTTACGCTTTTTTGCTTTTTTTCACTCTCCTTCCCGACAAAAACAGCTTTTTTCCTTCTAAAAAGTTGGCATCACTGAAAGGAACGAATAGCTTCTTCGTAGAAAAAGTAACCACGCATTGTTTTAGGCTTGCCCTAATGTATTTTCGTATTTTGGAATATGGTCACACTACAAATAAATAAGCGCATCTCTAGCTTATAAACAAAATAGAAGGCGGCGTTTTCAGTGAAGGACAAATATGCTAACGATAGCTAATCCCGCCGCTGGAGGCATACCTGACAAGGCGTGGCAGCCACACTTTGTGACCCTAGAAACATCGTAATTATAAAATGCAAACAAAAAGGCAACCAAAACTCCCGACAATCTTTACAGAATGGGCGAAATAACTGTGGAACTTTATTGGAAGCACGCGCCCAACACTTGTCGCAACTTTGCGGAGCTCTCGAGACGTGGCTATTACAACAACGTGGTATTCCATCGCATAATCCGCGATTTTATGATACAGGGTGGCGATCCGACGGGTACAGGGCGTGGAGGTACTTCGATATATGGCACAGAATTTGGCGACGAGATCCACGGGGATCTGAAACACACAGGCTCTGGGATACTGTCAATGGCCAAGTCAGGTCCGGACACCAACGGATCGCAATTCTTCATCACACTGGCCCCGACCCAATGGCTTGATGGCAAGCACACGATCTTTGGGCGTGTCTATACTGGGATGCAGGTTGTTAAGCGTATTGGCATGGTGGAAACGGATAAGAACGACCGACCCGTCGATCCGGTGCGAATTGTTAAGACGAAGGTGGATAAACTTTAGTGCAGAGTATTCATGATATTTTTGATTATATGCAATTGAATGAAAACAAGAAATTATAAATGACTAGAAATTTTGTTCCGCCTTAAATAAAAGCACACGTCGGATTGTTTGTTGGTGTCTCGGCTGTGGTCGTCACCATTTCCAGTGCGGAGGCGAAGATTACACCGCCGCCAACTTCGTCCTACATAGTGTTGTCTAGCATGTCCACAAGTCGCTTTATTTCCCGTCTGGAAAACGCATTAAATGGATACATTATCATTTGTTAATGGGAACGGTTGCTTTTAGCCACTCACATGCGCTGTCCCAGCTGTTCGGTAGGCCTCATCGATTTGCTAATCTCCTCCGTTTTGGCCATGATCGTGTACATGCATTTGATGTTGGCGTCCAGTGTGTCGGTTAACTTGCTCACGGCATTCTTGTGTACCTCTACGTTGTCGGCCGTTATGGATGAGATCGAGTGCAGCAAATTGCCCAAATTTTCAAGAAGATTATCGACGGCAGTGGCCAGATATTGCGCCTCTAACTCAATATCACTAAGTACATTGCCATCGATTTCGGGTATATTCCTCGATTGCAGGAATCGACGAGTCATCACGCCTGGCGCTGTCGATGTTGAGGGTGTGGTTTGTTCAGAGGCATTGCTGTAGTCTGTGGGCCGTTGCGGGCTTCCCTCTCGCAGTGTGGCTTCCAAATTGTGAGCCACAAAGTGACGCATTTCTCCCGTTTTGCTTGTGGAGCCCTCCAACTCGTATGGAAAAGCTAAAATTTGGCCAAATTGCTCAATTCATCATCATATACTCAAATGTGCACTCACTGGGTTCGCAATTCAAGGAGGTGGGCCTTCCTGCCGTCTTCTCTTGCTCTTCAGAACTGTCTTTGGAGTTTGTGTTGTCCTCCTCTTCTTCCTCTTCGTCACCCATGTCCAGGTTTACATAGCTTTCATTGCTGCTTGGCTGTGTCTCCTCCTTTCGCTCGGGTATAGGACCAGCATACTGTGCTAGGAATGGAATTTCCGTGTACGAAGATGCGGGAGTGCTGTTGTTTCTTGTTGATGCCGCCGCTCTGTTGCTTTCATTAGCAACGTCTTCGTCAGTGTAGCCGTAACGCGGCCGTATGGGAATGTCCTGACTGCGGCGCGACATGACAACCTCCGGTTTTCGGTCTGTAATAGTGGATAAGGTGTTTATTTTTGTTTATTTCTTTCATCCACTCTCATGAGTGTGCCCCTACTACTCGCCTTGAAAAACACCAAACTGAATAAATATCATGTTGCTATCCAACACTAGCACTTGCCATCACTGTGAATGGTCGGATTAGTGCAAAGAAGAGAGTAAAATTAGTGGTTGTGTCGGCCGCGGTCTCGTGAGGTCGTGTTGCGCGGGTGTTTTGTCTTTGTAGATTGTTCTGAGCAAAAACAACAAATGGCCACTCTTTTGGGCCGGTGAACGCCGCCGCGTGTGTTTCGCTAATTTATTGAACGTTTCATAGTTTTGTTTAATGTTTATAAGAGCACAAGAAATGCTATTGCTTATGTATAGCAACTAAATTTGTGTAAAACGAGTCTTCTTGGCAGTCATCGAACACACACACCAAAAAGCAAAGCCGAGAGCAAAAGAAGCAGCGCAACGAAAAGGAGGAGAAGTAATAAATACAAAGTGGTGAAGCGCTTGCATGTGTGTTGGTGGTGTCTGTGTTTCAATAAAAGTGCATAAAGCAAGTCCAGGCAATAGAAAAACAACGGTTTTAATCGAAATTTGTGCCAAATTCCAAACTGCCAGTGTCTTAATCAGTGCGTGAGTAATCGAGAGCACCCGCTTTTGCGACAGAAAAACGCACTCACACATACACCAACTTCGACTGCAACGCGCATAGTGCATATATGTATATGTGTGTGCTTGTATTTGTGTGTATCAGCGGCGACAAATTCGCTGCTTAAAGCGTGTAGAATAAAATTGGAAAATAAAAAAAAAAAGGAAGAGAAAAACTACGCTTGTAGCCGGGCTCGATGCGTCGTCTGTCGTTGAGTTCAAATTCCAATTTGAATATTTGCAAAATTCTGCTCTGCGCATGCGTCCCCTGCAATTTATTAAGTTGTGTCACAATCGTGTTTTTTCTTTTATTAATGTGTGGTGTATGCGTGCATATTGAAAATTGATAAAGAGTATTTTACAACGAGTTGGCAAGCGCTACAAACAAGCAAAACAAAAACTACAGAAGCCTTCGCCGCTGAAAACAAAAGGTAAGCAGGTAGCAGAGTTTTGCGAATATTTTATGACGCGCAACGAAAAAAATTCTTAATTGTCTTCTATGTACATATGGTTGTAAATGTTTAAGTTTGTGTTTGCGTGTGTGTGCGCATAAGTGAAGTTTTAATTAATTTAACTGCAGACGCTGTTTGCTTTCTACAAACAAACATATGAACATATCGATATGTATGTTTATGTATGTGTGTGTACTATTGTAGCCCTCTCTCCCTCCATTACCTAAAGCCATTATTTGTGCATTGTTGGTTCTTTGCTTTCCTATTTCACTGGTTTACGGCCAACTTTGGTTCTTTTCACTCGCTAGCTTCGTTGGTATGCTTGTGCTATGCTTTTTCGCTTGTTTTGTGCATTACGTCTTTGTCTTGGCATTCTTCACCACACTTGCAAGTTGGAAGCCCATGTAGAAGAGAAGCGAGTGTGCAATGAAATCGTAATAATAATTTCTTGCTGTTATGTTTAATTCCATTTCTTCTTTCTCATTACCATTGTTGCTTGGCTTGTTGCTATCTCTACCGTTATGTGTCGATTGCGATTTCGTAATAACTTCGCCGCGATAATATTCGCTCGCACTACTACATTTACATATGAATGTATGCATGTATACACATGCAATTGTCTTTAATCGTATGCAATGGCTTGTGTGTTTAACGGTTCATAAGCGTGGGCCAATATTTTGTAATCTACTTGTATAGAGGACGAATATGCAAAGAGAAACAATTTGCAGTGTTTGGCAATGTCTTGTAGTATTTACATACACACATACATATGCATGTATGCATATGCGCTCATTTGTACATATGGGATCGTTTTTTATTGCTGTAGCTCAAAACTGATTTTGATTTTGATCGAAAATGTTCACCAATTATGTTCTAACATAAGTAAGAGTTTGAATACTTAGGTTTCAAATTTTAAGATAAATTTCGATTGAACGGTACTTCTAAACTATATTAGGAAATTGAGAAAAATATTTGAAGTCCTTAAAAAACATAATGGAAATTGTAGAGATCTCAACAAATTTACGAGTACCCAAATCCATTTGCAAGGTGTCTTCAAAGTAAAGTTAGACAAACAAAAATTATTTAATATTGTTTTTAAAAACTACATCAATTTACAATCGTTTTCCATACCAAAAATCTTTTCCAACAAAAACTGTGAAACTAGAAATAGACTCATACATGGCCATCATTTGCGATTAACAAAAAACTTTCAGTTACAACAAAATATTAAATATTCTAAAATTGCAATATTTGTTTGCATCAAAAACTCTTTTGAAATAATTTCAGACGATCGTATACTATTTATGTATTTACCATTATCCCTTCTGAAAAGGTAATACAAATTTAAAAATCAAAAGTATTATAGGATCTACCTATAATACCCTACCCTTAAGAGAAGAATACAGGAAATTGCGAATGTTAATGCACAATTAATGACTCAGTTCAACAAACTTCTCGGAGCAGGATTGCAGCAGCATTCTACGTGAGTCATGATTACGATACAATGAAGAACTGATCAGTCTGTTTTGATAAATTGAGTTTCACACACACTCTATTATTTGATCCTGCAGCATCTTGATTTCTCCACTGTACACTTTTAAGTGTAAATAGAAAATAAACAATTCTAATAAGTGGGTTAGATATGATGTACCTAGGGCACGTTTACAACAGTGTAGCGATGTGGATGTGTGTGTTTATTTTTAAGTCTCAAGCGTTTTATGTAGCCCTCCCTGCGGCGACACTTGAGTTCAAGTGGATGGTCTCCTCCCCTCTCGGCACTCTCCGCTTTAGTGTGATTTGAAATGGGCAAGAAAAACAAACGGTAAATGGGGTTAACTTACTTTTGCAATTTGTTGTTGCTATGTAGTACATACCTCTAATGCTACCCTTCTCTATAAATACATACATTTGTAAATTTGCGAATTTGTTCATTTTTATTTTTCACTTTTCATTGATTTTTATGTGTTGAGGCACAGTTTCAGTTTTGCATTTGTTGCTGTTGCAATTGCTTGTGGTAATGGCGGCTATGCGGAACTCCCCTCATGGCTATGTTCGGGCGCATTGCCTTGCATTGCCGCCACTTTGACCTCGTGACCCAACAGACAAAGATTCGTTTAAGGCGATTTGACGTTTACGTTTTACGAGCCAAAAAGTACTAAGCACAACAGTTTATGCATCGCACACACATATACCCTCACTTACTTACACGCCCCGACTTTTTGGGGCGAAAGGTGTTTGAGCAAAAGAAAAAAAAAAAAAAAATCAACTACAACAATAACAAACGAGAGGCACAAAGTTGGAGAGTCAGACGTGAAGACTTGCCGCCTTTGCCAAGTCGAGAAATGCGCACAAGCCGGCGATGCCATGGGGCAGATTAAAAGCGCGTCTTAATGCGATTTGCATTTGCATTTGAACGTTGTCGTCGTGGCTCGTTGCCCCATCGTGCCTCAAACCGCGCCCCCTTATCGAGTGCGGCACAGCCACAGTTTGGAAATCTAATTGAGGAAATTCATATTTTCATTTGACCCCAAAAATGCAGCTCGTGCACGTTCCATCATGGCCCCTTGTCATGTGCGTGGCCAATTCCGACAGACAGCACCGCCAAGAGGTTCATCCGATCAGCGTGCTGATGGCTCATTAGCGCGTCAGTGGCGGCGGCATTACCTTTAGACCAAAAGACCATTACTAGAAATTGCTTAAAAATTAACGGACAAGTCTTTGACTAGTTTCATCGATTTATTAACTGCCCCCGCCTATCAGGTCCAAAGGCTAGAATGCTGTGAAAGCCAAGTAAACGAGCTCCAGGGAGCTCGCATGCTCAGTTCATCAATGAAACGAGCAGTCCAGATCGATCAAGAAGCGCAAATCATCGACCTTTTTTGTTTTGTTTCTTAATAGTGAGGAAGTCCAAATTGCCCGCCAAAGTAAAATGATGTTATGAGTATTGAATGCGTGAGACGTTTGTATTAATCATGGGTCTGTTGAAGTGTCTAATTACACGTAGAGATATAAGGAATAAAAGGGGAGGCTCAAATAGGGAAAGAGAGAGAGAGAAAGAAAATTAAAAACTGCGGCAACATCATAAGATGAAGTTCTGCTTCAGGGCATTTCGTTTTGATTCAAAACCACGCAAAGACATTAAGATACAAAAATATAAGGTAAAAGTTTAAGAAATGTAATGGTTCGCTCTTAATCATTTAATTAAATATTAAATGATTAAGTACTAGAGATAAATCTAGCCGATATGAGCCGACACACTCAATTGACCTTTGTTTATATGATTTGGAAAACGACAACAAATTAAGGAAGCAAGTGTGTTAAGAAAAAAGCGAGCCTACGAATTGCTTCTAATTGTGCTATTTAGTGCATTAAAACTTAAAAACTCAATCATATAGCCTAAAGGCGACCCATTTCGGGTGCATTTTCTAAATATAACTTCTCTGCGTTTTCTTCTTCTTCTAAGTTTTTAAAATTTTTCTCCATCTTGCTGTAATATGCCGTTACAATTGCATACCCAAAATGGCTTCACAAGATGACTTGAGCATTTACGATTCTGAATTATAAATGATTTATGCCTCTATGCTCACTGCTTCGCTGGCGATCAGCGATGCATGATGCTCCCGCCTATAACAATCTACTTAATCATTGATCTGTGTGAGTTCGTTAATTGTGCTGAAATCACATTCTTGCACCATATATTTACATACATTTGTACTATCTGTATACTATTTACGTACTCGTCTCATGGAGTACTTCTTCAGAAGTTTACATCATCGGGCCTGTGTAAATATTTGCCATTATTTACACTGTTCGGATGATATCATTCGATAATTTCATGCCAGTTCGAAGGCTTTACCTCCCTTTCAGACCACTTGAAATACCTACATAGTTGAAGAAATGGAGCACTTTTGAAATTTTGCAATTGGTTTTCACGATTCAATGCGAATCAATGAGAAATCGGAGCGTAAACAGCCGCGGGTGGCGTCGCGCTCGTTCTTTGGACTGTTAGAGGGTATCTGGCTTTGCTTTTGATGTATTTGGTTACAGAAATCTGTGAACTGCATTTGTTGTTTGTGTTATTGTTGCTTTTATGGCTCACTCTTTTTGATTTTCCTTGGTAAGTGTGCCAATAGTTGACCTCGTTCTGATTACTCTTGCCTGTTGCTCTTATTGTTTACAATAAGTGGCAGAAGCACTTTTGGTTGTTGTTGTTGTTATTGTTGTTGCTGCACTAAGTGGAAGGTGCAAATGAAAAGCGAGTGTTCTGTTTTCCCTTTGCATTATTGTGTGGCGCAATAACAATATTTCGATGCTCATTTTAACACATTGCCAGATCTATTTATAATTTCTAAAACCTAATATTTAAAGGGCTATAACGAAATCGCGGACGGGTATGTAACAACCTACAGTAGTGGTTTTTAAAGAAAAGCTCTTATAGGAAAATTAAAGGGTAGTTCCAGACGAACAATAAATTCCAAAACAGAATTTTCCTGCTGTCTTTTAAGCGTATTCAAGAGTCGGAATCAATGGTGTGTATTTTACAAATTTAATTTTGATTGCTTCAAGTAGTGGCTGGATTTGATTAATTTTTCGATATAATCATTAGATCAGGCGTCACATCATTATTTTTTGGAGACTTTTACTTTTCTCTCGACACAGTTTTTCTTTTTGGATTTTCCTGTAGTACAGAGATGTGATGAAGATATTAATGTACAAAGCTGCTGGGTTACACGAAAACCACGCGTTAGCCACGTTCGGCATGTCGTTTTTGTTATTATTATTGTTGTTGTTGTTGTTGTAGCTATTGCTGCCGTTGCATCGTTTGTTGGCACTTTGGCATTTTGTGTCAAAATATTGAATTTTCTGTCTCTGCTTGCACCTCCTACGCCCGCACTTCCTCCTTCAGCTCCTTGGTAGAAGCTGTAACAATGTCCGCATTGTTTGCAGCTCATTAATTTTCAAAGGTTTTATCTGCATTT